ATTATCATCATCTCATTGAATAAGAGAGGCGACAGGATGCAACCCTGACGTACTCCTCTTCTTACGCTAAACTCGTTTGATGTTTCGTTTTCGATTCGTGCCATGGCCCTTTATTGACTTTGATATCACTTCTGTATCCAGTGGCGGACTGGCACAGTAGAACTAGGTCGGCTTCGCTCGCCTTGAGGGGCCCGCGCCCGGCAATACTGAGTAAAAACTTAATTATAGTTACAGTTCGGGTTAAAGGTAGATAGAAGTGTTGCTTAACAGGGAAATGTAATGGTAAATAATATATAGCCACTATGTTACGGTCAAGCTCTGCGCAACCGTCTCGCAGACTACTAAACTCAGCGGCGCACGTGCCTTTCGGGCACGTTTGTTGCGCCTCAGCAAATGCATGAGTGGGCTGCTTGTATACTGTGATGGTCCCCAACACTTAGGCGTAATGGGTAAGTTACGTGCACAGAGACACTAGTTGTCCACCCCGTCGGACGTGGTTACGCACACCACCCCGGTTAAAGGGGGTGTAACCTTCAAATACAACTTGTCTTGCGTGAGGTCATAAACACACGCAAAATTACAAAAAACCTATTTAAACTGACGCAATGATAGGGGTTAGAACGCAAAAACAATACGCTAATATCGATAGTATACGACAAGCATCAGCAAACGTGCGCCCTGCGCCGGCCAGCGAACTCAGTTTGTGCATATGACGTCACAGTGCTGTGAGTGGGAACTTTATACCACGTATCTTCGCAACGGTTTGTCGTAGCCTAGTGCGGTTCGAAAATTGGTTCTTAGATTGTTTTTTTAACTTTTATTTTTGGGTATTTGCCGACCTAGCCAGTCCGCCACTGTCTGTATCTCTCTTGTCAATTCCTGATTCATGTAGGATTAAGATAAATTTACCATGCTGAAGTGCCTTTTCGAGATCTATAAAGCATGCGAGAGAGCTTGCGTTAACGTCACGTGCTCATTGAATTAGGACTTGTATGGAGAACAATGCCTCTCTAGTACCCAGTCCCTTCCTAAATCCGAATTGGGTGTCCCGTTCTCGTCGAGTCTTTTATATATGCGTTCTTCTTCATGTATCTGATCTGGCCCGAGGGTTTTGTTGTCCTTCAGTGGTTTAATAGCTGACTCCACTTCTTCCTGTTTGATGATGGGCCCCTCCTCGCCAACCACTGCAGTCACATTGTCGATGGTTTCGTCTCCGGAAAGCTCCTCCATATACTGTTTCTATCTTGTAAGTTTTTTGTTAGTTTCAGTAATGATGTTGTCTGAACCTAAGATTACTACTGCACTCCGTTTTTGATACATTCTCGTTGCTTCCTTTATTTTCTCATGACGATTAAAGCTGTCTTGTATAGTATATCAATTTCGTTGCATGTTTCCAGTATCCACCGTTCTTTTAGCCTCCTTGATTGATCTCAGGACTCTTTCGTGTAGCTACTTGTATTCTACTGTATCATTGTTTTTGTATTGTCTTCTCTCTTCCATAAGTTCCAGGATAGTAACTGTCATCCATTCTTGTCTCTTCGTAGTCGAGTCCGGCCTCAGTTCTTCCTCTGCAACGGAGGTTATCGATACTTTTATTTTATTCCACAGGTATTCTATTTCTGCTCCTTGGTTATCATTTTCAGAGATACTCTTGAGTTCGTTGTCTTCTTCACTCTAGTTTGACGGAGTACATTCACTTGTTTGAGTTTCCTTACGTCGATCTGTACTTTTTCAAGTCGGTGCTTGGTGCGAGCTGAAAACAGGTTGTGGTCCGATGATATGTCCGCGCCAGGGTAAGTTTTACAGGAGACTACCGCATTGCGATATGTTCTATTTATCATCACAAAGTCAATCTGATTCCTTACGATTTTATGATTGCTGTTAGCCGGAGATCGCCAAGTGTAGAGTCTTCTGGGAGGAAGCTTGAAAAAGGATTCATGATTGTGAAGTCTGTTTCTTGGTAGAATTCTATTAGGCGATTTTCCCTTTCACTTCGAACTCCCAGCCCGAAACCGCCGACCACGTCCTCGATCTTTCCTTGTCCAACCTTAGCGTTCATGTCTCCCAGAATTATGTTAACTTCTTCCCTCTTTGTGTGTTTGGGAGCAGTTTTGAGCTGTTCATATAACTCTTCTATCTCTTGTTCACTGCTTTTCGACGTTGGTAAATATGACTGTATAACGTTTATGTCGAATGGTTTTGCGTTCATTTTGATTAGTGCCACTCTACTCGAAATTGGTATAATTCCTTCTACAGCTTCGTTGGTTTGCTTGTCAAGAATTATCCGTTTTTGTTTCTAGTAGAACTAGCTCCGGGGAAGTATACATAGTGTTCATTTACAATGAAGTGTCCAGAGTTTGGCCATGTTGTCTTGCTACATCCCAGTATGTTGATCTATAGTCGTTTCGCCTCTTTTACTATGTTTGCTGCTTTTCCAGGTTGGTACACAGTCTGTACGATCCACGTGCCAATTCTCTTTTCTCGGTTTATTTAAAAGACATCGCTGGATGACCGGGGGATTCTTAGCACCCTCTCCCCATTTAAGGGGTGCCCGGGATTGAGGGCTGTTGTTTGATTTTAAGTAGAGATGCCACGAATAGTGATTTGGCCGAATACCGAATACCGAATATTTGGCTACGCTCCCGTTTGTAGCGCCGAATATTCTGCCGCCGAATATTCGGCAGCAGATCTGTGGGTTTTGTGCGTTAACAACAGGTCAGGACCTGTCTTTTCTCATCGCGTCGCCTCCGGTAACGACAGAATTTGGTTCACTTGAGAATATATCGTGTCACAATACGCATTATTAGCTACATTCTTTTGATCGCAGGCCAAAAGTTATCAAAATGGCACCAGTAATTAATAAAAAGTCACATATTTGATAGATTTTAAGTAATCGATTCATTGTGACTTGTTATTAAATAGATACATTTTTTAGTAATATGTGCGTTTTTTTTATTATTCAGCTTTCAGTATTCGGCCAAATATTCGACCGGATAATACTATTCGGTCAAATACCGAATACAAAAAAAAATGGCCGAATAGGCCGAATACTGAATAGTAGCCGAATATTCGTGGCATCTCTAATTTTAAGTATCCATTGTGAGTCTGCCTACCACTTCAAAATGCCAATGAAAAATTGAAGAATTTAGAGAAGCATTTGAACGTAAATCAATTGAAGCTAAGTGTGAAAAAATTAAAGCAATGATTCTCATAACACAATATAAATATTTCTCCATAAGGTAAATATTGTAATATTTCCGATTGTCCTAGTCTTCACTTGCTTTTGTGCTCGTTGATCCTGGTTCCTATGGATCTTTTTGTTGTTCCTATGTATACCTTAACACATGTGCATGATATACGATAGACTTCAGCGCTTAAGAGTGGGTTCCTCTTATCCTTGACTGATCTGATTGATTCCTGTATTTTCCTTTTTCGCTTAGAGATTGTTTTTATTTGGTGTTTTTTCAAGACTTTCCCTATCCTGTCTGTCACCCGAGAAATAAAAGGCAGGTAAAATATTAATACTTCATTTTTTGACCGAAAAAAAAAAATGCATTAGCCACCACTGGCTGTTCATCCACGTTTTGTCGTGTGGCAGTTCTGGGTCGCATGGCCCTGTCGATTTCAGAGGTATTGTATCCATTTGATAGAAATGCCATCTTGAGGTGATCCAGTTCTTGCACGAGATGTTGTGGCTCGCAGATGTTCCAAGCACGTTCTGTTAACGTTGTTATAATTCCACGTTTTTGCCTTGGATGGTGGTTTGAAAGTGCATTCAGGTACCTGTCTGTGTGTGTTGGTTTTCGGTACACTGTGTGGCTTAGTTTTCCTCCAAATTTTTTTCTGAGCACATCTAAGAAGGCGATTTTTTGGTTTTTCTCCTTCTTAATGGTAAATTGTATTAAGCTTCTCTTCCCCGTGACTCCAAACCACAAAGGTATCATCTACATATCGAAGCCATACCGTTGGTTTGTGGTCAAAAGATTCGATAGCTTTTCTCTCGGAATCCTCCATAAAGAAGTTGGCTATGACCGGGCTGAGCGGACTTCTCATAGCTACACCGTCCATTTGCTCGTAGAAATCGCCGTTCCACAGGAAGTAACTACCAGTGAGACATGTCCGGAAAAGCTCAACTATGTCATTGGGGAAGTTACTTGATATCAAGTCAAGGGACTCTGTCAATGGCACCTTTGTGAATAGAGACACGACATCAAACCTGACCAGGATATCCTTAGGTTGGAGAATAATATCCCTTATTTTCTGGACGAAGTGAGTGGAGTCCTTGACGTAAGAGCTAGTTTTTCCTACAAACGGTTGAAGAAGCGATGCTTTATCAATTTATTTTTTGTTTTTCTGGTCTTTTAACAAATATATTATTATTTTAGAATACAGTTAAATAACTTCAAATATTATGGTTGAAAAATTAAAATAACAGAATAAGTTATTGTTCGATAAGAGAAAATAAAACTTTTATTCGGAATTGAATTCACTGATTGATCATTAAAACTGTCAAAGGCAATGAATTATGTACTATGATACCAGCATTTATCGTCCGCGAGTCATTTGTGTGCACAAACCTTCAATTAGTATTTATTGAATTTGATTGTTAATATTCGTTAATGTGAAACAGTTAAAGTAGGTACTCAGCAGACTCTGTCCTATTCAACATCATTGACCAATTTTTTTTTTCTGGTGATACTATACTAGCTTATGACACAAAATCTGAATGCAAAAATTACGTGATATATGAGTTTTTTTAATTTCGATGGAATTTTAAAATGGTGAATTCGAGAACAAGTGACTTCATTAGTATGTTTAAGGATCTTTTTTTTAATGTATTTTAAACATTACATTGAAAGTATTACATAGACATTCCAAAAGTGTAAGAAGAAATATCATTTTGCTGTTTTTATTCATAAATGTTACAAATATTATTGATTTCCGTATTCATTGTAGCTTAGTAGTTAACAATTCAAAAAAAAAAAAAAAATCCTACTTACGTTTGCCAATTGATCGAATCTTCCAAAGAGCTCATTGAGCAAGCGTACCAACTCCTGTGCGGTGCATTGTGAAGCCAAAACGGTGAAACCAACGATATCGGCGAACAAAATGCTGGAAAAAAGGAAATGTTTTAGATAAAATTAGTTTTAACGTATATGAAATGTGCAACAGCAACTCCGTTAAATTCCCTTGATAATAATTATAAAAAAAAGGAACATGCCCTATCTCTAACTAGTGCACTACATAAAACTTTGTCTATCATAAAAATAAAACTTTAACATAGGCCTTTGGCGCCAAACAATCCAGGTCGTTAAACCCTGGAATATCCGGGAAAGTAGGAAAACATTTTCATTTATTAGGGTTTTATGTCCGGATCGCTGGGGAATGCGTAGTAGTATGCAACATATAGTTGCAAATATTATGACTTTTCTTACAGTAATAAAATGGTGAATGTAGTGGTGGTTATGTTTGCTTTCAATTTGCCGGTGACTAGTTTTATTTCAGAATAAAACCTTTTTGAAGATTAAACGTAAGAGGAGATATTTAAAATCAGTGCAAAATTATGAAAATTATTAATTAATCAATTTCATATACCAAATCAACATTACATAGGTAATATATATTTGAAAAAATACTTGAGGTAGGTAGGCACCGATTCTTGATAAGTAGTCAGTAAAGTGATGAAAAAAGCTAATCTACCCTAACAGCTACAATAGCTACATTTGAGGGCTAAGCTAGATGATGAAAATGTACATGAAGTACCGGAAGAGTGGAAAATAAGCCATTTAACAACAATATACAAATGCAACAAAATTTGTTCAACAATTGTTGAAAAAAAGGGGCCCCCTTTCGGAGTTACAGCCCCCTAAAATTCGCCCCTAATGATAGTATTTTTTTTTTAATTTCTCAGAACCCTGTTGTACTAGAATCGCTATGTTTGGTACACAGGGGTTTTATGACATGAAGAATTGGATAGTCTACGCTTTTGGGCGAAGCACCCTCTTAAGCACTTTTTCGTTGGCCCCCGTGTCTTTGGAGTCTCAAAACTTTGGTTGCGTATTTGAATTTTTCATAAAATATTCAGTTAGAAAGCCTTGCTTGTCTCTTGGAAGTTTTCCGTTAAACACATCGTTTTCGAGAAAAATGGCAAAATGTGATCGAATGCACAGGTGGTAGAGAAATATTTCTAAATTGAATGAGGCTCCTAACTGAATAATATCTTGAGATTGCTTCCTCTTCTTCTCCTACCTTTCCTATCCGGTCACCGCTGACCATCCTTTTTGATTATATTTTATCACTTGGAGTGGGAGGAGAGGTTTTTTTTTGACCGAGGCAATACCACTTCTCGCTTCGATTCTGGTCCGGTAAATTTGATTCGAATTGTCTGGACCTGGAGCGTGACTCTCGATTTTCAACACTTTAATTCTGTCTCTCCTTTATTTTCATCCTTCTTTTTCATTTTTAATCGTCACTGATTTGGTTTACAAATAATGATGGACATCTTTCGTGCAAAGAATTCCGAAGTTAAAATACCCTCCCGTTCGGATTTCTAGGAGAAGGGTGTACGAGGGGAGACTACATCAAGTTTCATAATTGAATTCTCTATCAGAGGTATTAACGCCAACTTGAACTCAGTGCACCAATATCTTGAGCACAAAAAAACATACCTGCTGGTCAACGGAGACGCAAGTAAGATGTTCTGTCAATCCAATTCATCTCATGTTGTGGTCGATGGCGTGTTTTCAGATATACTACCTATAAATGCCGGCGATCCCCAATGCTCAATTCAGTACCCAACACTGTTTCTCATTTTTATAAATGATTTGTTAAATGTGACAAGAGACTCCATAAACAGCTTTGCTTAGCTTTGATAGTAGCTTGATGGCATCTTTCTCTTCTAACAAAAGGCTTACTGCGGCCACTTTCACACGCTTCGCCAGAGAACAACCTCACTCTATAAACAGTGATCTTGATACCATTACCAACTGGGGCTTTAACAACCTAGTCAAATTCAATGCTCCCAAAACTCGAGCAACAGAAAATAAGAAGTCTTCCGCCGGTGATCAGCCTGTTTCATCAAAGATGTCGGGACAAAACCTTTCCATTAATCCCTCAGTATATCTTCTTGGGGTGATCGCATCGACCATGTATCTTCAATCGCCAGAACCTCTTCTCAATAACTAGTATTTTTATTGACACAATAGTGATAAAAATAAATTAAAGAAAATTAAGTAACAGAAAAAAATTGTTTAGCGCACGCATAAAACATAAAAAATTTCATCCAGGGCTCTCTGCGGTGGTGAAGTACCCAGGATGCAAGCGGCATTAACCTGCTGAATCGCCAAAGCAACGATTCTCTTGCGAATTTTCATAAATTTTCTGAGAAATTTCAGAAACAAGTTTTTTTCCTGATGGACCCCAAGATCCCAATGTTTCTACATCAAAGGGTTAGAAGATAAAGCGTTCTAGCAAATTCTCATATTTTTGCACCTTTCTATATTCTGCTGCTTCTGCGGCGGAGCCACCAGCTGATGACGATGAGACGATGTTACTTTAGCTAACAGTATCTTCACATGTAACATCCCATATAAGCTGACGACCATTACTCCATGGACCATAAGTCATACCATCCGGCCGTTTCCTATCAATACGTGAGCAACCAGGTGGTTCCAATAACGATGGTATTCCTGCACTTCTTAAAGCCCTTTGCAAAACATTGTTCAACGAAGTGTGACGACTAAGACGACCCGCAGTCATCTTTCCACAGGATAAACCGTGGTAACCCCACTCATCCACCCTGGTTCCACAATGACAATAGTGGGGTTCGCAAAGTTTTATACCAAGTCGAAGGCCAACAGCAATACGAAAAGTGTCGTTGTCCAAGAGTGTTCCCAGAGTAGCTGCTGGTGGAGCATATAAAAATGCCCCAGATTCAGCAGAACATCTAGCACGTTTATTGAAACGTGCTTTCTATAGAGGATTATCTTGAGATCGTCACAACAAACTTTCATAACGTTTCAGCACGATACGATGGTTCTAACTCTTTTGTAGCTTACGTTCAACAAATTCAGGTACATCAAGACCGGCTTTATCTTTCCACAATTCCAAAGCTTCTGCTGAGTACGAAACTATATTGAAAGGTGCTATATTTCTTGTTAGCACGGCGAGAGTATCAGCCACGGAATGAATCGATACCAAAAAGGCAGGAACAGGGGCTCTATTTTCGAATATTTTTGCATACGAAATTTGATACGATTTCGAATGCTCCCCATTTAATTTACATTGCTGTCAGTCAAATTTCGTGTACGAAATGTACTCGAATGGTTTCGAAAATCGCACCCCAGCTAGTTCTTCCGCGGAACGTATTCCCAAATCAGTCAACTTTACAGGTAGAGTAGCAACATACCAAGTTTCCAAGTCCATTTCTATGTTAGTGATCGTTTCAACAGCGAGTCTTAATTGATCATCGGAAGCTCTATCTGGCGAAAAGATGGATAAGTGCAAAGTATATAAATTAACTTTGGAATGCTATAGCAATGACGAAGTAGAAATAAGGATTGTTGAGAAAGAATATCGTTCAAACGAGAAGTCATGAGAGCGAGTTCATCAATTTTCTTTGCGATAATGCTCGGTGCAGCTTCATCAGTCAAAGGACTACCTAGCAGAGACAAATCTTCCTTTGTCATAAATTTTATATCTGCCGAAAAACCTTCCAATTCTTCTTCGATTCGACGTCAATTCAAAGAAAAACCACCATATATGAAAGCTTCACATTTTCCCCCGTTCAATTCCAAGCCATATTCGTCTTTTGCTGAGGCAATAGTTTGAATATCTTGAAGAACAGTGTCTGGGGCTCCACCCAATACAGCATTGTCCAAATACCATAAAACCAGAGCAGAATTTAATCGTTGCGTTAAAGGTGCTATAGCAATGCAGAATCCTAGAGGTGCAACTGGATCACCTTTTTGGAGTCCCCAAGCAGAATTGATGGTGTGTTCAAGGTATCTTAATTGAGAAGGGTAGCGATATTGTTGCCAGAAAAATTGATAAACCCAGGAATAAATTCCTGTACCATTTTCAGGATTTGAGGTCTGCTGACACAGTTAAAAGCGTTCCGGAAATCTAGTTTCAGAAAAACACGACAGTCTACGTTATCTTTCTTGTTTGTAAAAGAACGCGCCGTATGAACCATAGCCTCAATACCACCTTTGCTACCATAGCCCAATTGAAAGGGGCGAAATTTAAATCCAACTGAACATTGAACACGATTGACACGCTGACAACTTTTCTAGCAATTTCTTATAGCATTTCCGATTACTATTGGCCTAATTCCACCACCTTTTTTCATAAGAGCGCATGTTGAAGCTCCATAAAGTAGGCTACAAATACTTTTACAAACTTTCCGTCGGATCATTAAATCTACTACACCACCAATAGCGGATGACAAGTGCGCAGAAGAGTTATTACCATTCGAAGTCAAGTCTATTATATGTTGAGGCCGTGAACCATCAAAAGCGCCAGCAGAACCATATTTGGACGACGAATCTCGTCATTATTGACAGAATTAGGAAACTCGACTGTTGTCGTTTCTAACGGGAATGAAGCACCATCTGGTTCAGCAGGATGTATTGCACGTAGCTTCTCCAGTGTAGCAGTAGTGTTAGGTGCAATAAAGTTTTGAGAAGAGAGAACACGTATAGCACCTGTAATATCACCATCGAGTAGTTTGGCACCGACTCTGCGTTTCAATGAATTAGTATATGATTCTGCAGTCTGCAGACGACCGAAAAGCAGCATTTTCTGACATAATATGCGCACCATTGCCAGAATTTTCAGAAGATAAACTGGCTAATCCTTTCTTCACTAAAACTGATAATGATTTTCTTTCTCACTTTATTGTGCGGCAAACTAAGTACGTTACGAGGAAAAGAAAAAAGTTTATGCCAAGACTCGTCATTATTGGTTTTGACACAATTCTCCAGAATAACTGCCAATGCTTCGGCTACTTGAGGACGAACAGTACGCGGAATACGTCTCATAATTCGTATATTACCATGTAATGATATAGAATATGGCCTGGTTTGGGAAGCATCAGTATTAGAACAAGTTGG